CTCCATTGCCCCAGGCTGGGAGGACTGGCATCCTTTGTAATTGTTCTTGGGTATTGTGCATTTTGGCAGCTGAGCATATCAGTTACTCATGCTTCTTTTAAAATGAGAGGCACTGTGTTATATATTTGGAAAATTAGTTGTTTATTTCTCAGAATCAGATCAAGTGCAGCACTAAATTAAGAGTGAATTATCTGACTGAAATAAGTCTAACTTGGTAGCCTGGGGCTGAGCTGCAAAAATAAATGTGAATGTTGGCCTGAACTTTTTATTTTTTTCTATAAGTGAACCAAGTGTTACAATGTTGCTGCTTTACATTATAAACAAGATTTTTTCTCAAAAATGAAACATACCTAAAAAGTGGATATGATTTGATAGGACTCATATAAATAATAAAAATATTGTAAAGATAATGTTTAAATTATTGTTTCAGTGAACTCAGTTGTTCTTTTGGACAGTCTCAAATAATAGCTTTGATAAATGGGTTCTTTCCAATCAATAATAGAAAAAGCATAATTTTGTGTCACAATGCCTTATAAGAAAGTTTGAGTTTAAAGTTGTTTATAAATAATCTTAACATTTAAGCATGTGGAAATAACTCTCTTAAAAATAATAACATTAATTCAGAAAGGGTCTAGACTATAATTTCCAGAAGCAGAGGGCTTGACATATAGATTTCTGGCATCCTTATCATTTTATAGTCTTAGACCAACTACTTTTTATTTATTATTTAAGAACACAAAGTAAATTCACTATCTGAATTAGTTTTTAATGGTCTAAACATTTAGATTTTATAATAGATGTTGGAGTGGAATAATTGTCATCTTTTTAGAGGCCTTCTTGACTTCAGACAATGTTGTCAATTACTGAAGTCCTTATGTCCAACAAACTTATGCCCCAGAGACCTAAGCCTGAAGTTCTTCTCAATGGCCTGGCATCTTGGGAATTCTCTTGATCTCTTGGGCAAAGATATTTCAAACTCAGGGAACATATGATGGGAATTTAGCTTTATATGTCCCAGATATATTTAATTCTCTTCAGAGGTTTTACTTGATAATAGCTATGCCCCAGAAAACCATTTTGTTTAACCAATGTGATAAGTTGACAATGTAGTTTTTCTCTCTGATTATAATGTACTCTGTGTAGTCAATACACTGGTACCATGTGAGTGTAATTTCCTCTTTTATTTTATCTCCAATGCACTGTATTATAAATAAACAGTTAAAAAAAAACACCAAACAAATCTGTTGCATCTCCTTTTAAGATTGTACCACTGTAGACACTTGTTCTAGTAAAGTAGAATTGGGCGCATTTGATTGCATTTAAATTTTTCATGCTTCAGCAGTTTGGCTGGGAGCACAGTAAAGAAAAATCCCATGAGCGAGGATAGTTTAGAATAATAGAACTTGATTTTGTGTATTATAGCGGCAACATTTGCGCTGCTTTAGTTAGGGTTGTGTCAGCACTTCCATTATAAACCCCTGTTTTCAGGGGGTATAACTAGGAAGATTTTTTTTAATACAAATTAAAAAAAAACAATTCATTTGACTGATTTTTAAGTTATAATAGCGTACAAATAAAACAAAGTAAAGTCACATAAAATGGACCACTTTCACAGGATTTTTTTTTTTTTTTTTGCTGTACATGGCAATAGCTAAGGTAAGGTACTATTCTCATGTGTATGTGGGAGGATGAAAATTTTTGTAAAGGAAAAGTAATATGAGGATTAAGATTAAGTGTAAGCATTTCATATAATGTTTAAAAATGTTCATTAAAAAGTATATTAGATTTTTGAATTTTTAAAGGTGAATAGTTATGGTATAGTGGTTAGCTAATGGTATCACCAAAAGTCAAATGTCTTTGCAGTTTCTAAATACAAGTTTAGTTGGTCTAGTAAAAGGTTAAAATGTGAAGTTAAACTGAATGAGGATGGAAATAATTTGAATTTATTTTGCTTTAAGATGCCCAAACCAAAATCATCTTTTAGGCCAAAACAAAAGCAACAACAAAGACAACAATGAAAATCAACCTGAAAGAAGCTCAATAATTTTGTCCAAAGGAAATTTTTCAGGAAATGCCCTGCTAAAAAACTAAATCATCTTTTCCTCTACTAATGTCATGTTTAAGAACCATAAGGAACATAGAAAATTAAGTAAAATGTGATATGGAAATGTATTATTGGAATAAAACATTAATGTCTTTGCTAAAGGGAAGGAGTTTGAAGTTGAATGTGTCTCCCCCGGCTGTAAACTGCTGTTGTCCTTCCTCCCCTTCTTTTATTTTTCCCTTAACAATGGTGTGAACTGAGAATGAACAATCACATTTTATATTGCTTTTCTTTGGCAGCCTATCTTTTGTTTGCAACCTTGATACACATTTGTATTTGTAGGTGCAAAATAAAAGACAAATTGTGTGATGCTATAAATAGATAGCTTTCCTGAATGGTCACTGGAGGAATCACCAGAAGACTGTTGATGAAGTAGAGGTGAAGCCTTTCCTCACTAATTGTATTCAGCGTATAATTTCTAAACTTCTCTCTGAATTTTGATTTTCAATTAACACTCTCCATTTGAAGATAATTTTCTATTTAATGTAATTGCAGGAAATAATTTATTGGGTGATTAAGACTGAGGACCCAGTCTTCCTTAAGAAAACACTCTCACAAACCAGACTTTAAACTTATCGCTTTGAACAGATTTAGTCTATTTTTACAGCTGTACAGTTTTTTTAAAAAAAATTAGATTGTACACTATTGTTCACTGATGCAATTTATAGTTGAAATTATTCTTAAGACACTGTTTTCATCTGGATTTTGTGCCATGGTTAATTTACACTGAAGCAACAATCACAGATATTACTATTGGAAGGAGACAATTCATTTCATTGTAAAAGGAGGGTTGTTTGGGCAACGAATGTCACTCTGAGTTTTGGATTATGACTTTCAATTGTATTTAACATTTTTAAGAAACAGAGGGGTAAAGGATTTTTTTTTTTGCTGATTAGTTGTACATGACAGTAGCTAGGGTAAGGTACTATTCTCATGTGTATATGGGAATTTTTTCTTTTTAATGTGAATGATTAGATTATTGGTGTCTATCATTATCTAAACCCTGAATACACTCTTGTTTGTGGTAAGCTCTTGAAAAACTTGCAAAACAGTAATTGTCATGATTTCACTGTAATATTTATGGGCCAAGCAATGTATACTCAATAGTAATTTTTGTATACTAAGAAACACCCTTTGGTTATCATTTTCAAGATACTACTATCTATTGGTTAGCAGTGATACAAATTGCTCAACAATATATTTATCTGATTCTTTGATATAGCACTCTCTAGCACATTTATTTTTTTTCTCTTAAAAAGAAATAGGCATTCTTCTGTACTCTTTCCCCACTTTATTTTCTTGCATCAAGTTTTAAAGAATAACTTCTTATTATTTATAGAATGATTATTATAAGTAGGTATCAGCACTTTAATATGTTTCAAAGCACTTCAAAAGCCTGTAATACTTTTATTTAGAACTATGCATAATTAGATTAGCTGATCGTATATTAATTTTTTTTTCACTGTAGGATACTAAATCTGAGCCCCCTCATTAATTGTGAGAAATTTAACATTAGCTGTTAAATCCTATGTGAAACATGGGCTGCTACATAAAAACTACTGTTTAAATTGGAATTAACTTAATTATTTTTCTTTGCACTTGATATTTCCTTCACTGCAATATTCATGAAAGCATGTGACAGATTTGTAAATTTAACTGTTAATCTCAGATTTCTAGACCCTTTAATCAGTATTTATTTGTCTGTAGAAACAGTACTAGCAAGTTAATGATTTGCTAATTTGAAAAATGCTCATGTGGTTTCCTATGTTAACTGATTTGTGCATTTTTTAAAAAATGGTATGAAATCAATTAATGTTAAAGAGCAATTAAGGTGGAGATTTTATTCCTTTCATTACACAGCAATTTTAGAGCTAGAGATACAAAAAACTGAAAACAACATAAAGTTTTAGAAAAATCACTTCTTCTGTTAAGTTATAAACTTTCAGTGGTTTTATTACTATCCATTTTGCTAAGAAATTCATCTTGATATAGGTATATTCTAAAAGTTTTAAAGTTCTGATTGCATGCAAAAACACAGAATAGAGACCTTGTTATTTCAATATAGACAGTGTTCATTTGCGGATAAATGAATTCCCAATATTGTTTTTGGAGACTAAAAATATTAAGCATAATAGGCATTTTAACATTTTTCATAGTAAATTCTTTGAAGCATGTATGTACTTTCTAATGAAATAGATTTATAGTTATTTTAGATACTCAATTCAAATACTACAAAATTTCCTTAAGACTTCTAACATTATTAGTGTCTTGACCAATAAATCACATAAAAGTTTAACAATAATCAACACTTCTTAAAGCTTTGTCAAAAAGCTTTAGCTGGGCACTAAGTAGTGCTAGGCCATAACACAAGTTGTAAACTAAGAAGTAAAGACCAGATTTGTTTAGGATTTTTATCATGGATTATTTACTCTATCTTCATGGCCTTATTTTGTTTCTATGTATAAAAAGGAGGTATTTGGATATTTTTGCTCTCTAGATCATCCTGAAAACTAATTCATTTGCTGATTAATTCATTTGTTCTTTTCATTGCTAGTTGTCACCTAATTACTCATAAGAAGGCCATAATATATTTGGGAAAATCAGGAGGAAAATATATGTCATGTCTTCTGTACATCATACAATATTTTATAAGAATGTCATTTGTAGATAGGACAAGAGAGAAAATATACAACAACTACTAGAGAGAAGTTTGCTGAATTAAAGCAAAGAGGGAAAGTGTGATAGACAAACCAAGAGTTGTTTGTCAGTAGTCTAGACAATAGTAATACCTAAAGTTGAATTATTTCCTTTTTCCCTTGAATTAGTAAATTCAAGGAATGTCTTATTTGTTTGATGCCAGCTCTTTTCAGTCCATGATATTTTCCTTTGTTTGCAGAAGAATGTCTTCCAAGCAAGCCACCTCTCCATTTGCCTGTACAGCTGATGGAGAGGAAGCCATGACCCAGGATTTGACCTCAAGGGAAAAGGAAGAGGGCAGTGATCAACATGTGGCCTCTCATTTGCCTCTGCACCCCATAATGCACAACAAACCTCACTCTGAGGAGCTACCAACACTCGTCAATACCGTTCAACAAGATGCTGACTGGGACAGTGTTCTGTCATCTCAGCAAAGAATGGTGAGCTTTTAGACATTAATTATTGTGACTAAGTGTGTCTGTTGATATATATCCGGGAATTTTAGGGAAAGGCTCAAAATATAGCATGTTAGCACTATTTTTGTTAATTTCATGAGGCAGTCACCAGGATATATATGGCTTCGTTCATGTACTTATATATTTCTTTTTTTTCTTAAATGTATTTGGTACAGGGTCTCACTATGCAGATCAGACTTGTAGTGCTTTTCTTGTTTTCAGCCTCCCAAGCACTGAGATTACAGGCATGTGCCACCATGCCCAGACTCAGTCGCCCGAGGGCTTATTCTGCTGAGCTATCTTGCTGGCCTCTTAAAAGTTTCATTTGGAAAAGATGGCCATATTTGTGTTGGTGTGTTAAAGATGGCCGTGGCCATGCTTGTTGCTTGATACTGAGTTTGAAAGCAAAAAAAAATTTTTTTGCCAAGTCCTTCTGTTGAAAAACCAAATTGTTGGCCAGCATAAGTGCTCATGAACTGAGGTATCACATTGTGTGTGTGTGTGTGTGTGTGTGTGTGTGTGTACTATTATTATATATAATATAATATAATATAATATAATATAATATAATATAATATAATTTAATATAATATATATAACCAGAAAACTTGGAAAATGGTTTATGCCATAGTTTGTGACCATTATTAGATAAACGTCAAAAAAAGAGACTTAATTTTTTTTGCTTACTTTTTTTTTTTACATATTTAGTACAGGGTCTACAGGGTCTCACTACACAGATTGGACTCGTAGTATCCTTCCTGTTTTCAGTCTCCCAAGCCCTGGGATTCTAGGTGCGCATCACCACACCTAGTCTCATTCGAGTCTCAGCATGCAGCAGGCCAGTGACTGAACCTCTGGCCTCTGCTTCTGCCTAAGCAGGAGCTTTAATCTGGTGAGCTATCTGGCTGGACTTTGAGCCCTGATTTTTTTTTTAATAAGGTGGTGTTTAGCTATCTTATTAAAAATGATGGATTTGGTAATATTACAAAATAGGTATTATCAAATAAAGTGTGGTCATATGTTAATAGTGAAAAAGTGAATTAAGCAAATAAGTCTGTGTGAATGAAGTAATGAGATGACCATGTCTTTCATAAGGAAATGTGAGGTTTATTATTTTTAATTTTTGATAAATTCTTGATTTGTAATATATTACAATCAAGTCATTCTTGATTTGTAATATATTTGTTCTTCCTTATGCATTTATATATTAATTTTGAAGGGATATGAAAAACTTCTAGGTATCATTCAATCAAACTACAGGTTTTTCTAAAAGTAGAAGTAACACATCAAATGTGTATACTGTATTAGCCAGCTTGTGTAGGTTTAATTTCATCTCTAAGCATTAAAATAGAAGCCACAGTTTCTGTTACTTTTCTAACACTAGTTTAAAGCAAAATTTTAATTTTTTTCAGCATCTGAAAGAAGCCAATATTTAAATTTTGGCTTTTAACACTGTTTTGCATTTGGTTAGCCAAAAGTTAGTAAAAATATTTTAAGTGAACAATGAATAAATTTTTATTTCTTAATAAAATAAGAATATTTGAATTGCTTGCACTACTAAGAGCACATATTTCAATTCTTGCTGTATGCTTGCTATCTCAGAGACTGAACTCAGGAACTTCTGATAGCAGACACTTCTTTTTCAAATGATTTTGGAGATGCAGTCTGTGCTCTGGACCAGCTGGTGATGAGCACAGGACTGGAAAATAAACAGTTTTTGACTAATTTTAGTTTTGAAGGGGAGCTATATTGTCCAGATAGATCCTTTGTGAGGTTTATTTTTCTCAAGTAGTTAGAAGGAATAGCCATAATAAGGCAAGAATAAATTCTGTTTTTCCAACTGGATTTAAGTTGTTCATTATTATTTTCAAGATACTCTGAGTGATACAGGTACCTAGCCCCTGCCATTGCCTATTGACAGGATAATGGGATCACCTTTGATTTATATTTTACTAAATATTGAGCCTTGTGTGTGCAAATCATCCTGTTAGGTTCTGGCTGTGTTGTGGTGAAGAAAACAGACATGATAAGCCTTCCTAGGTTTTATAGTCCAAGAGAGAAGATGAATATTATATAAATATAGATGCAAATAAATATTCAATTAAATTGTATATATAATTAAATATATAATTAAATGTACAATTAAGTGCTATGAAGGAAAAGAATAATGTTATCTGAGAACATAATGGGACAAAATTTAGAATAGATGGTAAAGAATATCTCTTGGGAGTCAAGGATGTAGAGACTAGCCAGGTAGTGTAAAACTAAATTGGAAAAGAGCATGTATGAAATATTTGAGGTGAGAAAAATATAACTTAATTTAGGGAACAATACTCTTCATAATTGGAGTATAGTAAGTCAGGACACAATGAAGTATCAGATATAGTTGGTGAAATAGGTAGGGGCTATCAATCAACCTTGGAGATACTTTCTGGAACTTAGATTTGATCTCAGTACAATGAAAAGAGGCTTTGAAGGGCAACAAATTTATAAAGATAATTCTGATTGATATGGTGAATGGATGGGAAGGAGGTGACAATAGTGAGAGGAGGAAGACCCATTGGAATTTTTGTTTCAGAATCTAGATAAGGGACTGGAGAGATAGCTTGGTGGTCTAAGCATCTGCCTGGTGAGTACAACAACTGGAGTCTGATCCCCAGTACTGCACGCCACACTGCTCCTGATGTGGCCACTGAAACCATGTGTGGTGGCACACACCTGTAATCCTAGGGCTGGAGAGGCTGAGACAGGAGGATCACTATCAATCTGAGCTGTGTAGTGAGACCCTGTAAAAAAAAAAAAAAAAAAAAAAAAAAAAAAGGATGATAGCGTCTTAGATGAATAAAGAGGAAGTAGAAATAGAAAGTGATGGTTTCAAGACATGTTGGCTTTTATGCCATATGTAGTCATGGGCAAATGAAAATAACTGCATTAAAAAATATAAATAGAGGCAGACATTTTCAGTATAAATTTTATTTCTTTAGAGAAAATTTTACCAATTTTTTCTAGTAAAACTTTTTTTTTCATGGAAAGTCTCCGATTGCTTTGGAGAGTTATTCTGTGTCTAAATAAGTTCTAGACACAAAAGCTTTATGTCTAAATTGTTATAAAATAGATACTAATAATTAATATTAAATTCATTTTAACTAAATGACACTTATGTTAGTATAAAGTGGTTTAAAGTTATAAATATTAATATGAAATGAAACCATACTGCTAGTGATGTTTGCAAATTTCTACCTTCTTTTAAAACCAAGCCTTGTTTTCCACTGCAGTCTGTATGTATTTTGAATGTCTGGACCAAAATATTTTGTTTTTAATTCCCACTCTATAGTATTTCCTAGATGTGTACTTGTATGGTGTAATAAAATGATCTGCCAAATGAAAAACAGCAACTTCATTTGTAAATTCCCTTTGCGATCCCTTTTCACTAGATAGATTAAAAATGTGTTAGAGTTTTGAGTAACACCAGACTTGTACCAACTTATACAATATAAGAATCATAGCATCAGTGTTTCTTTATTGGAAAGAAAACAATAGAAGGATTTTAGGTTTCTGGGCAGACTTGAAAGCCTACACACACATGGAGAGAGAGAGAGAGAGAGAGAGAGAGAGAGAGAGAGAGAGAATGAGAGACAGACAGAGACACAGAAAGAGGAGGAGAGAGAAAAGAGAGAGAGTGTGAGTTTGTATGTGTGTGTTTTGGAGGGGTAGAACTGTGACTAGTATGACATTTTATGTCTTTTAACTTTAAAGTCCAAAAGAATGTTTATGAAATGATTTGAAACTTGTAGTTACCTTTACTTACTATAATTAAGTCCCATGTAGTAGCTGTGAAGAAATACAACTTAGAAAAATTTAAAATTACAACAAAAATTTTATCAGCACCGTTCATTTTCTGTTGTCATTTAGTTCCTGTGATGGCTTTCGTTCTGGAACAGTTAGAAATGAGCCCTAGAAGTTTCTTATCTTGTGGGTTCAGGAAGTGTTTTACTTTGAAATATCGAGACCACAGAGAAGTTTACTCTAAGAGAGTGAGGACAAGGCAAGAGTTCTGCTAATTCCCACTTCTTGATTAGGAAAAAAATCTTTAAATGTCAAAATTATGATTATTTTGAGAGGGCACTTCAACAAAATATGACACCACACAGTTCTAAACAAGAAAAAGAATTTAACATGGCATAAGCATAGGATAATACAATTTTAAGAGGCTGAGCATATAGCTCAGTAGCACAGCACCTGTCTAGCAAGTACGTCTTGAGTTCAATTCTTAGTATCAAAACAAACAAATAAACAAACAATTCAAATTTTAGAGACAGAAATGAAAAAAACCTATACTAAGTAAACATTTTAGGCTGATTTTTGACCTCAGTTATTTATATTATAGACACAAAAATGTTCAGTTTTAAATACAATGTGCTCTGAGAATTGCAACATCCATGTCATACATTTCGTAGTTCAACAGTTAGTAAACATACGAATTCTCCTTCCCTGTCTGTGTGCAGTCGCTGCTATTTTCTTCTGGGCACCAGAGGAACATTGCCCATGCAAATACACTTTTGTTCTCATCATAACTGACTAGGTGGCAATACATTCACATAATTTCATCATGAATGATACTTCATAACATATTGTTCTTTGTAATGTTATAAGCATGGTTGAACATTTTTGTGGTAATGTTTAGTGATCTATGTATAATATCATATATATGGCTTTTCTGCTGAAGTTTTACATATGGAAAGTACAGTTGAGCCTTGTTAGTGAACTGTATGAGGACACCTCATCCAGAGTGTTTAATAAATACAAAAGCCTTTTGGTTGGTATGGAGAGACAGAGATAAAGAGATAAAATCAATGAGGCAGACAGATGACAGATAGGATGGTAGGCTCTAGTGTGTTGTTTGACCTTTATTTTAAGTGTAAAAGGAAGCTACTGAAAGGTCTTCAGTGAAAGAGTAATATTGTTTGATTTAGGAAGAGTGATAA